CGCAGACTCTGGGCTCCATCGCGCTGCTCTCGACCACGATGCGAGCTCGAACCCTTCCCAAGGCATCGCCCTTCCAGCAGGATCCCAGCATATCCCAACACGAGCGGCAGCTCCAGGCAAAAGCACCTCCTGGTGAGGCCCGTTGAAGAGCGGCGAGCAGTAGTTTGGGATGGGAGCTAAGAACAAACAGTGATTTCTTCTCAGCCAAACAACAAAGAACATGCGAGTTTATTAGCCCACAAACACATATCACGGGGATCTGTTAGCTCTGCTGAAGAGCAGGCATGGACAACAAAACAGTAAATCATGACTTTCTTGCATAAAGACTCCCTTGGGGAAAAGAAATAAATACAACATCATAAGGGCTGGTGAAAACACCAGTGATAATGCCAGCAGCTAAAGGAAAAAAAAAAAAAAAAAACACACCACCAACAAAACCACTAAAACAAACCAAAAGTTTAAAATCTTCAGACACAAGAAGGTTTTTCCGGGTACAAAATTACCCTGTCAAAAATCAAGGGTACATTACTGGCTAACGAGAAGCACAGCCCATTAGGAGTTTGTTTTAATCAAACTGCACTTGGAGATGAGGTGTTTTCAGCTGTACTTGCTCAGAGGTATCACAGGCTGTAAGTGAAGGCCAGGCTCCCTCACACTGCTCAAGCGACCAGCACTTCTCCAGTTACAGCTATGGCATCCCACTCCTCCTGCTACTGCAAAAATTTTGGGAAAACTAATTCCAGGAAATAACAGGGCTAGCAACAGCCCATCTAATAGTTCGCATAAAGCGAAACTTTCCAGCGTGGCTTTTTCACTTGAAGAACACCGCTCTGAATTCCAGACTCATGGGCGTTCTTCCTGCTTGCCAAACACTGCTCAGACCTCCCTCAAGAGCAGTTACTCCCAGGTAGCATGAACACTTAAAGCTGCCATCGGATGCTTCTTCACATGCCTGACACTCTATCCCACCGTAAGAGCTGCTTTGTATTACTTTTATTTCCACCAAACTTATTGCAGGAAGTAAAGCACTTTTTGTTGCTACTGTTCAAGCCTGTTCTTCTCCTGCACCATCAGCATTTAAGGCAAAATTCTGTTCTTTTTATGTTTCAGAAGCTGCTGATAAGGATAGCACAGGACAGAGAGTAGCTCAGAACTTGTTTTGGCAGGTCAGAAAAAAAGCAGATATATTGCAGTGCTGATTTGTAAACTTCAAAGATTTAAAAGACTTTTTTCCAAAGCAGCATCCCTCACATTGAAAAATTCTACATAGTGTCTAGCCTGGCTGCTGAGGAGTCTCCTGTTCTCTGCAGCAGGGGTGTCTGTGCACGTGCACAGCTGCTTTCTTACAGCTTAGTGCTCGATGCAAGCCCAAAATCCTGAGCAAAGCTGAGGCACTGCAAGCCACAAAGCTGGGGCCAAGCCCCACGATACCCACACCTCAGTCTGTATTCCCAGTGCTACAGGAGAAAGTGCCACAGGATTCAAGCTACCTATTCCAAAGTCCTTGGTGACTTCACCAAAGAGGAATTTTAAGATGAGGGAAAAGGAAAAAGGTTGATTTATGAAGTGTGAAGTAGGCAGGATTTCCAGGGATTCCTGCTACTTGGAAGCTTGCTCCCAGGACTTTTGATCCACTGGCTACAATAATTTCATCTGGAGACTAATGACTATCAAGTGCCTGCTTGGATTGCAGCTCTAAAGCACCAGAGCAAAGCAAAGGAGACAGGACTGCAGATGTCCAAAACACAGCCCATTTTGACCACATTCAGCAGAAACCTCCCACCTGCTCAGGTTGGATCCTGCTGCCTTGTTAGACTTCACCAGGTTGCACCAATCAGTCCTGCAGTCTCAGGAGGGCTCCAAGAGCCTTCCCCACTCCACACAGTAAGGGGAAAACATGCAAAGGACTCAACAGCCTGCAGGCAAAATCACCCCCCAAAGTGTGCAGGCAGCAAGCGTGGGCTCGGCAGTGCTATTTTCCCTTCCTGTACGATCACTTTGGTACAGCACGCAGCTCAGTACAGCTCTGTGCGCCAGAGGCACACGTGGTTCTGCTTATGCTAAAGTTTGTCACGATGCTCTCAGGTAGGAAAGAGAAAGAAGTCTTACACATGATACAGTGTGAGATGACATTTTAGCACTGGAAAGCATTCTGGAATTTTGCTCCTCTACTTTCTAACTTTAAATAGGAAAAAAAAAAAAAAAGGTTTTCCTGAGTTGAGAACTGTTAACACTGTTAACAGTAAGGTAAGATAAAGCTCCTGCAAATTTAACCTGAAGTAGAAAGTCTCTGTAAGAGAAATCAAAGCATCCAAGGAGATAACTCAGACCACTGACGAAAAAGATTCTCACCTTCATCTAACTCCAAAACAATAAATAAAGTCTTTACTTTTTTTTCCTGCTAATTTCAAACCTTTTTTCATATACCTGCTGATACAGTATTACCAAATAATTGTTCTTCCTGCAACTGGAGAAGCAGAAAGTTAGTACATGCTTGGAGATCTCTGCAGAAACTCATTTTAAGATAATAGGTGCTTGGAAATTCATTCTGAAGAGCTTTGTCTTCACCAGTTTTATTTGCTTTCTGTACCAGAGCACTCGGAACACATTCAGTCATATGTTTAGGGCTGCCGTGGCCTTCACTAGGGTGACTTGGGTATCTGAGTCCGTCTCCCTCCTGTTACTACCACCCCAGTTAGATTTGTTGGCCAAGACCTTCTGTCGGTGCCTTTCTTCCTGCCGCCTCTTCTTCTCTAACCGCTGCTGCTCCTTCTTTTGTTTTCTAGATATCTGAAAGCAGAAGATGAAAACACAGCTGAAAACAGACATTTCCCTTCTCAGCTGAGGAAGAATAGCACCCTATGCTGCAAGGCACACAGGCAGATATCAAAGAACTGCCTTAACACATTTAAACCAAACTATTTATCAGGACAGTGTTTTCTCACTTTGGGAAAAGTGCCATGTGTCATTAACTTAGTTTCTGTTAGATAAAAGTCACAGCTATATGAGCAAAATATAATAAGCTGAAACTTTGTAATTTACAAGAAAAAAACAGCTGCTGATGATCAATGCCTACATTGCTCCCACACTACCCTTCACATACCTTAGTGGTTTTGCTAAGTCGATTCTCTTCATCACATCTAGCCTCTCCTGCGTTTTCCATTTTATCTTGATGCAAACTCTGTTTTCCAAAGATTCTGGAGCCACTTCCATTTTCTTCCCACAAAGCTGAGCTGCACGATTTCGGGCCTTTGTCCTGGGAATCACACTGCTCTTCAGCACCTATCAACAAGCAGAGGTTTTTCCTCAGACACACTGCTGCAGAGTTCCTTTTTGTCTACTTCTGGCAGCTTTTTGAGGTAGGTTAAATATTGACAAAAAAAAAATCACGGCTCAGTAGCCACTTTGCCTTGCCCTTAGTAAATAAGACAACATGTTTTTCATCTGAGGTGGAAGCACAGCCAGCAGCAAGCCTCTGTTGAGATGCTTTTTGTTTACAGTAAACGCCAACCTCTAGCCTTAGACAACACTTTTCTGACACACAGGCTGCAAGCTGCATGTACTTACTGATTCTTTTCACTTCATTCACTTGAATGATGGCAAATATTGCTGATTCAACATTGTAGTTTTCCGCTTTCAAAATCTGGTTTATTAAGTCAATGTCCTGTCCACAGGTAGAGAGAGAGATAACACACAGAAGGTGTTTTAAACTACTGACATACAAGTATTCATTCAACAGCCCCATGCACCACTCAGCACTTCAAAACTATTAGGTACCCACAGTGTATTTTTCACCCGCATTTAAGGGTTGGATCTAGGATGAAATGCATCCTAGTTTTTCCATGGCCACCCAAGATTACTGAAGTCACTCAAGATTAAAGCTTTATTTATTCCCCAGACAACTTTCATGCATTAAGAAGTTCTGAACATCAAGCATAACAGTTTACTCCATACTGACCGAGCATCCAGTTGCATCACACACTTTCTGCACAGCATCTTCCAGTTCATCCTCAATTTCATCTTCATATTCACCCTTCTGTGGTTTAACCTCCTGCTCCTCCTTCAAGTCATTTTTGCAAAGCATCTACAAGCACAGCATGCTGTTATTCCACCATATGCAACAAAAATCTTACTTCACTATAGATTTAATGATTATGGCACATCTTTCTCGATGACATCCTGTCTCAGTGTCTTTGACCTTGTGCAACTTTCAACATCATTGACACTATTTCCCACAATTCATCAAATTCACTAAAAGGTCACGTAGAGCAATGGACAATTATTATTTTTTTAATTTAAATACTCATTTTAGTACAATATCATACAAGAAACAACTGCAGAGAACCTCAAGGACAGCACAGCCTAATCCTT